TGATACAATGTCACCATTGTATACTTCCCTTGGAGTCTTTTCATGTGACAAGAGACAGTGATGCAATTTTATTCCGTTCACCGTCTCAGACATCCCTGATGTGTTCTTGTTTTCATCGCTAATAATTAGAAAGTCACGAGAGGCAGAGACTGAGATGAACAAACTATCTGCAATGGATGAATCTTCATAAGTTTTATACTGGGATTTCAATGGAGCTGTGGAGATCTTACCAATCTGTAACTGGTGCATAGATGTGACCACATAATTGACCGAGTAGGAATCCAAAAGTCTAAGTGAAGAGATGTTAAGAGACACGGGTGCCGAGTCCGATGGTGGGGACATGGATATCAGCCCAATCTTTTGGAAGAATTCCAGTTTTGACAGGGTGGTGATCGGTCATACAACTCAAGCAGCACAGACGTCTTTGGACTTTGTCGTTATGGCACTCATAGCTGCTCCAGTGTGTGAGGAAACTTCACCCCTCGTGAAGTATCGCCAAAGAGGGTCCAAAGAGGGACATGGGCGATCGGATTTTCTTGGATTCCTTCTCCGATCAATTTCCTCGTAATTGCCTTTTTCCCAACGTACTCCTTAGTGAGCCACCTGGTGCGTTGAGGGTTCATGATATTAACATTCATGGAAGAACTCATTGCAGGAAGTGGATGAATAAGGGATATGATGCGCAACCGAAGGACCACAATGTACTGCTTGACTAGCTTTGACAATGGCATGGACCACGCTATCTTCATCTAGGTTGCCAGGAGGCCCAGAATTGGTTGTCGGAACTTCAAGGACAGAACTAGAATAGGTGATGATTGCAGCTTTATCCTTCATTGCGTGTTCCTCACTGCCAACATCTTCGACGGCATGCTCTTTCTCATCATTGTAAGTGGCTTCTAATCGATCGAAACGAGCCATGAAAGATTCAAGCATTTGTGTAAGTCATTCCATCATCTGTTCTTGGTCGACTACCAATGATTGAACCTTTCGTTGCAGTTGAACTAATCGGTGTTCAAAACCAGAATCAATTGCAGGCTCTGATACCAAATGTCACGATCCCGGTTAGGGACGTAACGTGAATTCCGTCTGTGCTTGGAGGGAGACGAACACCTCCAATAGATAAAAATCTCAATTGTAAAAGATAATTCTCATAATATTAATTAAGAGGGAAATTACAACTTTAAATAGACTCTTGGATAATAACCGACTCCTAAAAACTTTGCTCGCAACAACTTGACCACTTATCCCACCCTCAACTAGACCACTCTCCAGATAACTTCCCAACGTGACCCAACAATCCTAGACTCAACCTATGACTTTTAACAGACCCCAAGTAGATATTTATCCACAAAAATCTCAACAATCAAACCTTATCCACCCCAATGACTCCCCTTAAGTTTCTTTAATTATTTTGGCCCATGGGCCCATTAGTGGGTCCGTGACATTCATGTTATTGAGTTCTATCCTTTGAAAGCTTCAATAGTAGTCTTCGTATTACCTTTGATGATGACCTGAGATCCCCTGAATTCCTGCGCGAGCATATGGGCCTCCAGCCCAGCCATTCAGCAACAGTTATAGAAGCTATACCAATGCTACCTAGTACCTACAAACATTTTTATAAACTCTCCTCATAACAGCATTCCTTAGTAGGTATCTAAAGGCACACTGCCCAATGTATTCTTCTTCTTCCACAGTCTCTTGTACTAGAACTCTCCTACTCTCTATTGCTCTTTTTTTTACTACTTTTGAAGGGCTACACAATGGGGCGTAGCCCATACCCAACCCAGATTCAATCCCAAGCCTCTATTACGTCTACAAAACCAGCTGGTTGGTACTTGCATATCTATATGCCCTACAAGCGCCTCATATGCTCATCTCAACATGCAATGGGAATATCTCATGGAGCTGTCATTGGCAAATGTTTCCAATACACGGTTGAGATGTGATGTGGTGGACATGCTCTGTGGGGCACAGATGTGAATTCAGCTCAGGCAGCATCAACCGTCTTTTTCATCATTCCATCACCCAAAAAAAAAGCCCAAATACCATATTAGCTAATAGGGATGTCTTTAGTAACTATTTGAAAAAAGCTCTAATAATTATTAGAGAGGAATTTTAAGTGAATATATTCTCAACGCCAGTCTTATGCGGGTTGGATTGGGTAAACAGGTCTGAATTCTATTACTAACTGAAAATGTAGATGAAAATGAGAATACAACCAGCCTTGTAAAGAGATGAGGCTGCTTAGCTCAAGGTTTCGTCAAGTTATGTCTAGGATCAATTTGCATAATCCCCCAGTGGATCGATTGGATCTGATAGAGTTCTGTTTGACTCTATTATGGCTGGTCTAGGAGGTCCGATCTGATCCAATAGACCTGTTTCATTTTAATCATTTTTAGGGTCAGTCCACCTCTGAAATCTTAGCGTTAATGCACAGTTGGGGGTAGGTCAGCTCAGAATTGATGCTAATTCATGGACGCGGTATGGGTGTTATAGGTAGAGCTGTTCCTAAATTTAAATTGTTGCAAGTCTGCAACTAAAATCTGAATGCTGAGGTAAAGTGCAGGCTAAAAATCCCTTTTTTCATCATTTTTTATTAGATTTGGTATAATTTAAGAAGCAAAATGCAAATTAATAAGTGTAACTTTCCAACTGGGTCAAGAAATTTTAATTATACATGTTTTACAGGCATCAATCATGCAACTCGATCTTGTTTTATATAAAATTTGAACCAAGCGAAGCCCACCAAGTGCCTAAAATCTCTAATATACAAAAAGCAAAAGGGATGTACATGGGGAATTGAGATCTGCTCCTCACAGAGCGTATATACCTCACCCCGATCTCAAAGCAGAGATGTTCCCGATGTACGGTTGAATGACTTTTCAGGGAATAATAGTATCCGCAAGCAACACTTATTCGCAGGTGGGTCTAAGGGTATTCTGGCCTTTTGACCCTTCACGTATTTATTTCTCTCCCTCGTTTTAGAGGGTTGATGATAGTTGCATTTAGGAAGAACTGATGAACTGAATTAGGACATGGGTTGACTGGAAATAAAATGCTTAAGTTGGCTTCCCTTGGTTTGATCAGCCCCAATTTGCATCTCTTAAAACATTGTTGGACTTGGACCCATCAAAATTGTTCAGTATGGCTGGATGGGTGAGCCAGGCCTAGATTAGCCCAAGCTCATATCCAGTACGTTTATTGAACAGAACACGTTATAATTGGCCCTTGGGCCAACTGAATAATTAGAAGCTAGGCCCAGTCTACTACCTCGTTAGAACTTTGGGCCAAATGGTCCTCACATTTGGCTTGATCAGGTTGAAGGGGGCTCAAGTTGAATGTATATGCTATTTGGTCCTACCTGTCTATCAATAAATGCTACCTAATCCTCCCATCACCCATCACCACTACATTTACTGATTTACATCGTCCTGGTATCTCGACTCTCGAGGCCATCCAATCTGTATCATCCAACCTGTTCACCACTACATTCCCTACCTTTTCCCTCCTTTCCTTATTTTTTCCTTCGTACCAAACACAAGTGGCCTGAATTAGGCCTCAACTAGCATTGGTTTTAAGAGAGTATCCACTTTGAATGACTCATTAAGAACAGACCGGATTGGATAAGGAAGAATTGCTGGTTGAACCACAATTTGGTTAAAAAAAATTAAAGATTCATTTGGTTTGCAATTAGAATTTGAATCAAAATATTTTGGAATCAAAATCGAAACGGGACTGGGATTCCAATTTCATCCAACCAAACAGGGGGGTCCAATTCCGATTCTAGACCCCCTATTCCCATGAACTAAACGGGCCCTAAGGGTGTCAATATGCATACTAGGAACATCCCCAATTTACTCGTTCTCCTCACACCAACTACACATCATATTCAGCCATACATTGAGAATATCTTTGTACATATATTTTTGTTATTCATGGGGAGATGCTTCCAATCCATGCTGTAATGTGATGTGAGTGAATGGTGTGAGGTGTTTTTTTATTTCTTTTCAAGGGCTGCACAACGGGGTAGCCCATCCCCCAACCCATAACTCCCCAATTCAGGTCCAGGTGGGATTCAATCCCTAGTATCTATTACGATTTACGATTAGAAAGAGACATTACCAATCCATTGGTTGGCACCCTGCAAAAGGAAATGAAAGTAAGGAGCAAAAGAGGTAATTGTTTGATTGGCAACCGATATTTGATAGGGCTGCAATTCGGGCTGATTACGTTATAGATATATATTTGTATTTATAATGCATATATTAATATATATTCATTTATAATATATAGATAATATAAAATATATAATATACATAAATATATACATAATATATATAAATATATATACCGGTCGGTTCAATTAACCATGGGTCTTTTATATTGGTTAACTGAAATCGAACGAGTATCTTCAATTTTTCAAAAATACATAACCGAAACCAAATCAATTGATTTGATTAACCAGAATTTTCGGTTCGATTTTTCACCTCTAAATCCAGATTTGCTCTCCAATCTCCACCGAACGCTCTCATGCCAACTTCACAGCACTTTCAGCTTGTATTGATTGATAACATCTACCATAGGAATCCTCATCTACATCTAGTCTCACTGAGCGATCCCCACTCCAACCTCACATTGTGTCCCAGCTGCATATTGGTCCATATTTTATATTGTTATTCATAGGACATGTTTCCAACGGTAATCGATGGGGCTACGAGGTTGGTTTGAGGTGCTCTCTCAGGATCAAATCCCGATTTTTAATTTCTTACCGTATTTATACATCATTATATTATCATTAATAAGAGATGATTTTAATGCACGGCTGAGATGTGCTGTGATGTGAGGCTCATTGAAGATCCAATTTGGTTAGGTTTGAAGTTTGAACCAAGTTTTTACAGCATCATGTTTTTCCGATATCATATTCGAACCCAAAGTTCAAACAATCAATTATTAATACTCCGATTACCTAAAGGAAAAGGGAGAATGACGGTTCAGTTCAGTTGAATAGGTGTCGGTTCGAAATTGATGCTAATTCACGGGCGGGCGTTGATGCATAAAGTGTGGATTGTTGATATTTTGATCTTTATAACTCTGCAGTGAAAATAAGAAATTTGCATTGGACCTGTCCGTATCTTTTCGAAAAAATTATTATTAATACTCCGTATTTCGGTCCCTTTAAAACCTAATTTCGCCGGTTTCCGTTAGCGGAAAAAATGGCGGTTAACGTGATTTTGCTTCTACTGTCCGTCGCTGCAGCTCTGTCTGGAAGTACACCTCTGGCTTCTCAACTTGACTCAGAGACTGTTTGCGGAGATCAGAATAACGACTTGATCTGCGAACTGCAGCGGACAAAGCTCAAGATCTCACGATTAGGTGGCTATTTTATTCTTCTGAAGTTTCTAAAACGAGAATTCTTGACATTTGCTTCAGTTGTTTGATTGTATCGTTCGCATTGGGTCAATTCTTACTTTTTGGTGCTTCTTACTGATTAGAACTTGCCTATTTACTTCATTTCTTCTGCATTTGTGCAATTACTTAATTTTTGGTGCTTCTTACTGATTAGAACTTGCCTATTTACTTCATTTCTTCTGCATTTCGCAATTTGGTTGAGACTGAATATTTTCTTGAATTCAATTTGTCTGTTGTTTGTTTCTTGAGCAATTAAGCTTAATTTGAATCAAAGAAGCTCTTCAGTTGTTCATAGAGAAAGCTTTACCCCTTTCTTACTGTCACTTTCGGTGCTACAATATCATTATCTGGGATTATTGTATCCCTATAGTTCTTATCAAATTTTTCGTTTATTGGTTATCGTTATGTTAGGTCTTGGTTGGTTAGTAGGGTGGTTTTAACTTAAGATCAAATTTTCAAGCTATCCCAATAATTTGAATCCCAAGAACTGGCATGAAAGCTGGGTTCCAACTTGTTGTCAATGGATCAAAGTGCCGGAGGAGCATTTCTTATTTATGTATTATCGCTTATTATTTTTATGTGAACTTTGGTTCTTAATTACTTAATTGAACAATTTGTGTAGTGACCACAGTTCCAATACCCTACCCTTCTTCTAATCAAAATTTTGAGTTTTTTCACGTATGCAAATTTCAAGTTATCTACCAAGAAAAACATTAATAATTTAGTCACAGTTACTTTTGGCTCCATATCATGGTTTTTGGAAAGCGTGATTATTGATGGAGTATGAAGAACTTATTTTTCTTGTGTTTTCGCCTTTCCCCCAAATTTCTTTGTTGTCTTTTTCTTTATAACAATTAGAGGTCATTAAGTTATGACTCTTTCTAAATCTGTGTTCTAGAAGTGTCTTTTCTATGTTTTTCCCCTGCTTTGTAGATAGGTTTGATTAACGTTTGGACTTTTCTTCCTAATTCTAATGCATACTCTCTCAAATAAGGCATACATTTGCACTTATATACTTCACAAAAGAATCCTGATTTGCAGAATTTACAATAGCATCATCATCATCCTCATCCAAGCCTTATCCCAACTATATGAGGTTGGCTACATGAATCCTGTTTAGCAGTTCATTCTGTTTAATGCCATATCCATTGTTAAATTATTGGCGCTTAATTTATTTCTTACTACTTCTACCCATGCCCTTTTTGGTCCACCCCTTGCCTTTCTATCTCCTTCAACTTGTAACAAATTACTGCTTCTTATGGGTGCTGTTGATGGTCTTCTATGCAAATTACTAAACCATCTTAGTCTACTTTCTCTCATTTTATCACCTATTGGACCCACTCCTAAGTTCTTACGAATGACTTCATTTCTGAATTTACACTTTTAAAGTGTTATCATATCTTTCTTTTAATTGATTTATCTAGGAGAATGATCCTAGTATTTTCTTTTCTTTGTTCTTTTTGGTAAGAGAAAATTATTCAAATCATGGATAACCAATTTTGTTATCAATTTGCTATGTGTGTTTCTTACTACACCATGTAATTGCTGTACTTTCTTATAAGTGCTAGTGTGATTGCTTGAATTCAAGATAGAATCTGACCCCATTATATTATGCTGATAATTAATGAAACTAAATGCAGAATCCATCCTGGAGGAAAGTATCAAAATTTTGAATGCTAAAATCTTTCATCTTGAAGAACAGGAGAAGCTAATTGAGGAAATGTCCCATAAGATCATTCTTCTCCAGAGCTCACTGCTAAAAATTAAGGTCTGAATTTTTCACTTCAAGCTAGAATAGTCAGGTCTTCCCTGTCCCCATTCATATTGTATGATTTAGTCTTTAAAATACATTCGCATGCCTATGCACTTCTTTGTAAACATTTCCAGTCATATCAATGTTAGCATGTTCTTGACTCTTGTACAAAAGAGTGTAGTAGATGGATTTTTAAATAAATCCTGAGCTTGTCCTTGGATAAAGGAGTGGGACAATAAAAATAAAAATAAAAAAATAAAAAAAAGGAGTGGGATGATGCGTAACATACATATTGGCTAGAAACATGTGGGGTTGAGGGTTGGAATTTCAAAATTGGAATAGTTGATGCATGTTCTTTGTGAACAAATAGCAATTAGCAGTAAAGCCCAAAAGGAAATATCACAAAAAGCGATATTTGATTTACTGGCTTAAATTAGGTATTTTGCTTGGAAGCATAATTGATTTGACAATACATGAAAAATTGCTGCCTTACCAATTACTTGTTGTCAATTAAATAATGCTCACAAGACTGAGCATCTCCTACATGTAATGATATAAGGCATCAGGAGGTGCACCTAGTGATGTGTGGTAATTTATAAAGCAATTGTAATTAGGAAAAATTTAGCCTGTGGACGTTTTATTTATTGTAACTTCCAATTTTACCCATTCTTTGTTTGAAAGAGTTCTTTCTAAACATTTTGAACAAAAAGTTCTGAAGATAAAAGATAACAAGTATTAGAACATAGGAGGTGTCAGATATACATGAGTTGAGGGAAATCTCCTCTAACTTTGGAATTGTTAACATTATGCGAGAACTAGCCCAACTCACAGCCCATTTCCACTTCTTAGAAGAATTATTCTTAAGAATATTATTTTAATGTTCCATAACATTATGTAAGCTGATACAGTGCTTACCTTAAAAATGTAGTTCATAATTATTTTAACACATTATAACATATCTGGATCCTTAAGTTTCATATGGCTATGCTATGACAGTCTCTGAATTATTTTTATCAACTTCCTATCCATGTATAATTTTTTAACCCTTTTCTGGTCTCCCTCCTTCGGTAGGAAAATGAGGGTTAAGGCAGACAGTAACCTAAATTCAAGAAAATCGAAACCTATAAAATATATACCCATTTGCATTCATTATTCCTTTTCAAGGATAGCCTGATAGCCTCCGGATTCCGTGGAACTGTGTCAATAAACATGCACCCACCCATCACTCCTTTATATGGTTAAGGATGCAAGAATTTTTGGCTTCTCTATTAGTGTGTAAAAAGTTTATTTCTTGAAAAGAATCAAGAAAATATCAAAGATGGTGATTATGTTTAGAGCACTATGGGACTATGCCGAGTTAATAAAAGTTGAGGATACTAAAAGATGAGTCTTTTACTTTGGTTCTATGTAACCCTTTATATCTAACATGAAGACCATTCTCAATAGCTTCACTTTGTGATGTTGACCTGGCCATATTGGTTTAATTAAACACCATTCAATCAGAGCAGAATTTCATTTCAATTCCCTAGAAATCTGCAAACTTTCTATTTGATGGAGAACAGAGAACCTTGCATTTTATGTTTGCATCTCACAACCTTACCACTTTGTAATCCTCCCAGTATTTAGCTTCTGAAGAGGAGTAATTGCTCTGAAAAGTTTGTTTCAATATCCAACCTGAAAGTGATAAAAATTGCAGTAAATGATTTATACACTTCAGCAGCCACATCCACTACCAAAATTTTGTGGTGATTCATTTCACAATCACCAGTGGTTGAGGAGTACCTTGATTTCGCAAAAGTGATTCCATGCATATGCCCATGCCTTTACCTTTACAACTTGGGTGATTGAAGCAATAACTTCAAAACTTTGAGATCATATTCTATTTAAACTGGACAGTAGGCAAAGTTAGTTCCCAGTATCCTTGCAAACACCATTGTTTCCTTGCACTTCCTCATCACAGCCACGGGGACATCACTCCCAATAATCTTCTAACCACCTCTCCCTCTGATCCTTGTTTGTTCTCAATGACACTAGCATTCTTTTCTCCCAAAATAGCCCAAAAGATAGCTGCAGGCATTACATTCCATACTACTTTACCTCTCCCACTCAAAGCCTTTAAGTGCCAACCTCTTAGAAAGTCGTCATGTTATCCAACATTTACTTGTTTATAATTGTGTGTCTTTGATATTATGTGTCCCTAGCCTGCCTTGCTATTACTGACAGTGATATAAACCTTGCTTGGAAGTGGCAACGTCCATGTTTTCCTTTCATTTTGTAAGTTGGGAGGCACCATATATTTATCCATAATAAGTAAGAAAAGAACATCTTTGTTTAGTTTGTGTCATTTTTCATTGTTTTTAACCAATTAACTACATCCTGCTAGGCTGCTATTAGAATAATCTGCAAGGGAAAAAAGAGAAATGAGAGAGAAGGGGGAGGGGAGGGAAAAAGAGAAGAACAATAGATATGGTGGAGCAGGCAAGGTGCCAACCAACTGGTTGGTAAGGTCTCCTGCTGGTCGTAGTGGAGACTTGGGATCGAATCCCGCCCGCACCTGTGTTGGGGGGGTTATGGGTTGGGGGATGGGCTACCCCTGGTTGTGTAGTCCTTCAAAAGATATAAAAAAAAATAGACATGGTGGAGCAAATGATTAGGTCCATCCATTACCAATATCCACTGTATTTATATTTTATGTTTATGGAAGATAAAAGGACAAAATTGCCCTCATGTTTGTATATTACCATATTGGTCAATTTCATTCCTATGATCATGTCAACTGGCAGTTCTTAGACTACATCATAAGAAGAATGAGCTTTGGCTCCAAATGGTGAAACTGTGAAAGTGGATGAAAGTCGATGTGAATACTCCTTCCTTTTCAGTCTTGGTAAATGGAGTGTCTTGTGGTCGCTTCAGGAGTTCTAGGGGCTTAAGGCAAGGGGACTCTCTTTCCCCCTTCCTTTTTATTTGTGTAACTGAAGCTCTAAGTAGATTGGTGAAAAGGACCATGTCAGGGGGTTTTATAGAAGGTTTTCAGGTGGGAGCTGAAAGGGTGGAGGTTTCTTTGCCGCAGTTTGCAGATGACACTCATATTTTGTGATGCTTCAGCCAAACAACTTGGTTATGTAATGGCAGTGCTGCAATGGTTTGAGGTTGTGTCAGGCCTCCATGTAAACCTGCACAAAAGTGAATTGGTCATGGTGGGAGAAGTGCCAGAGCTAGAGAGGTGGGCAGAAGAATGGGGGTGTAAAAGAGGTAAACTACCACTGAAATATCTGGGGATGCCTTTAGGTGCTAGATGCAACTCCAAATCGATTTGGGAACCTGTTATGGAGAGATTAGACAAGCCATTGGCTTCTTGGAAATCCAAGTACTTATCTTATGGAGGTAAACTAACTCTACTGAGAAGTGTGTTATCATCCCTTCCTTTGTATTTGCTCTCCTTGTATCCAATTCCTAGTGGGATGGCTAAGTCTTTAGAGAGGAAGATGCGAGATTTTCTGTGGAGAGGCTGGAGGGAAGAGAAGAAAAAATTCATGCTGGTTAGCTGGTCTAAGATTTGTAAATCCAAACCTCAAGGGAGCTTGGGTGTGAGAAGAATAAAGGACCTCAATTCTACTTTACTAGGAAGGTGGTTGTGGAGATTTGGTGAGAATCAAAGTGATCTGTGGAGGAGGGTGATAGCAGCTAAGTATGGGTATGGAAATTCTGGTTAGGTCCCGGGGGAGATTGTTAGACAGTGTATGCCCTTAGCTCCAATCAGCATGGATAGATCTGGGGAGATTTATCCTGCCAAGGTTGACACTGATGTACCGCCAAGTTGGTTGGGGTGGCTTGTCTCAGCTACTAGGGTGAGACCTGAGGTACATATAGTGTGGATTTTCTTGAAACTCTGAACCGGACCAAAATTCTAGTATTGCCCTGGACCTTGGAGATAGATGGGCAAAACTAGAATGTTACACCTGACCCTGACTCGATTATGATACTGCACTAGGTGTCGGATTGGGCTGTCTTTGATGTGCCAATCACTGAGATCCTTAGAGGGGGTCAAAACCTAGGTATGTTGGGACAGTCTAAGAATTCATCTGAGTGGGTGATCATAGTGACAGGATCAGCCCCTTTGTCGGACAAAGTGAATGATTGGGAAAATGCACTCTCTCTGATGGAAACCTAAACTGCCAGTAATGGATTTCAAATGTGTTTGAAATTTGGTTTTGCAAAATATATTTATATAGAGATATACTTATATATATTATTGGTTTCAAAATGTTTGCAAAAGGTTTTAATTCTCGGGATCCATGTGTGTAGAGAGTGCAGCACTGTACCTTGCAACCGAGGGAGAGGTCCTCTCTTGTCGGGTAGTGTTTGATCGTTAAGGGCTGAGAGGTTAAGTGTAAGACTATTGAGGGTTATACCTGATGGGCTAATCTTGCATCTGCCTACAGTCCTTGGGCCTTCATAAGATGGCTGGACCCAATGACCATTTAGTGTAAATGTTGGGCCCATTAAGAGCCCATGGTGATGGACTTAGGGGTTTACTGTATTCAGCAATGAATACGGCCAGGCCTTGTAATAGAGGCTAGGCTGAACCCATGTGACTGATGTGTAGATCAATGTTAGGGTCCCACGCCATACAAAGAGAGCCAAACTAGCTAACATTAAAAGGAAGTGAGCCTGAAAGCTTAATGGGCCTAAAAGCCCATTTTGAACTGGGTTAATTGGATTAATTAAATAGGGGCAGATCTGGGTTTGGATCAGTAGATAAGGATAAGAGGATAACTCTTATCCACTTAAAGAGTCCATATCCAAATAAAGATTTGGATCAGGAAACTCTTAATTTGATTAGGAATAAGTTGATTTTGAATTGCAGATAAGATAAGGGATTATCCTTATCACTTAAAGAGTCCAAATCCAAATAAGGATTTGGATCAGGAAACTCCTAATCAGATTAGGATGTTGTCTCTTTAAGGTTATAAATAGAGAACAGGGCAGACCTGAAGAAAACCAGACAACACAGAGAGAAGACAACTCAGTTAGACTGATCTTGCCTTCAATTCTTTTTCTTCCTGCTCTTGCCGCCCTACCCTGTTCGATCTTCAGTTCTTGGATCTGATCAAGATTTGGTCTTGATTGTGTTTCTTGCTAGAAAAAAACAATTTTGAAGTTGTGCTCACTACCCCATTCGATTCTTGCTGAAGAATCACAAGTTCTTGGTGAAAAACTACCTGTTGATCCTGCCTCATCCTAAGTTGTGTCATCTTCAGTGAAGAGAGGATTCGGTACACTCTTTGGGCGTGAACACCTACGTTGGGAGGAGCTTTTTGCGTGGATTCCGTATCAGGTATATCCCTCCCTAATCTTGGTTTCAGATTTGGTCCAATTTGGTTATAAGAATGAACTTTGAAAATGCAGTTTTCTAAATTGTGAATAGGATTCTTGGATGGGAGTAAAGAAATTTTTGAAATTTCGCCAAACCTTCTTGCAGGGTTCGGCCATTCATATGATGGATCTCCCATCCCCTTCAGAGCTAAACCAATCCTATGGATGCTCTGTTTGGAAAGGAATTGGGAAAGTCCATGGTTTTTATTCAAACGGAATTCTCTTTAGGTTGGGAATGAGAGGCAAGTTCTTTTCTGGAAAGATTTATGGTGTGATAATAGACCCTTGATGGTTATTTATCCTACTCTCTTTGAAGTAGCTTCAGATAAAGATGCTCTTGTTCAATACTTTTTGCAGGTGCAGAATAGTAGCATTATTTGGGCACCTATCTTCAGGTGAAATTTGAATTATTGGGAAGTGGATTCTCTGGTGGAATTGCTGCACCAGCTGTATAGTACTCAAGTGGAGCTAGGGAGAAAGGGCAGGAGAGTTTGGAAGTGGGAGAAGTTGGGGGCCTTCTCTGTTAGATCCTTTTACAACTACTTTTCCAGATCAGAGGATGAGCCAATCGCAGTTAATACTGTGTGGTGTAAGGGTGTGCCCACAAGGGTGGCGTTTTTTGTTTGGACAGCCTACTTGAACAGGATTTTAACTAGGGATAATCTGGAAAAGAAGGGCATGTTGCTGGACACAACTGTTTGTGTGCTTTGTCAGAATCATACCGAGTCAGTCAACCATCCGTTATTTCATTGCTGTTTTGCCTGTGAGGTTTGGAATAAGATCAGGAACTTGTATGAGGTGAACAGTTGCTGCCCTGAATCAGTAGCAGATTTTGTGAAGAGTTGGAGAGTCAAAGGCCTCGCAAAAGAGGGAAAGTTGGCTTGGAACCTGACTCCTGCTGCAGTTTTCTGGCACATCTGGCAGGAGAGGAATGCAAGGATCTTTAAGAACCAACACAGCTCTTCAGACACTGTTTCAGAAAGTTATGGGAAAAATGTTCTCTTGGTTAGCAGTAAACAATGCATTTAAGGACAGAAATTTTAGTTCCTTTTTTGCTGTTGGGAATCTTTTTTGTAAATCAGGGTTTGGGGGTATAGTTCTGCTGGTGCAGCTTTTTGTAGATCCCTGTGTTGTTGTACATGTTTTTGTTTCTAATGAATATTACACATTACCTGTTTCAAAAAAATCCTGATTCTCTACCCACTTGACAAATGTGTTTGCTGTCATCATGTTTTTTCTTTGCTGAAGTAATGTTGTGATTATGATATTAGGATAGTCGTATCAACAAAAGTTAAGATCATTCAAAAGGGGACACTTTTTAATGTGTAATGAAACAATTTATTTTAGAGTATTATGTTCTGTCTGAATTTTTTGGAATTAATGTAATTACTACCAGAAAGGTGGGGGTAGGGAACTATGCCCACCTAGTTGAACAATGTCAAGGTTGTGGATAATATAAACAGTCAAAAGAAAAGTTTTGTCAACTAGATGGTTGTCGCTTTTATTTTGCTAGATGAAAATTTGCTTATGATTTTGGTAAAATGAGCTGATAGTGAGAGACTGAGAGTATACAAATGCATTGTAATGTTAGTTCAAATGATATTATGTAGCATTCAATGGGGGTATATATTGACTGGTATACTAAACCAGAGAAGCTAATGAATCCATATTTGGTAACTGAAGTTAACATTTGATGCATTCATGTTTCCAATTAGATGGCTTATGATCTTTGCTTAAATTGCAGGGAGACTCATCATATGTTGAGGAAAGAGTTAATGCACTAGAAGAAGAGGTTTGTTTAGGTTTCATTTATTTTTCAGTTAAATCTTTGGGCTTTCTTGCCCATGTTACAGAATGGAAATTCTTCTCTTTTCTTTATTCATCTTGAACTAATCTGTGGAATGGGTTAGAGGTGATTAGGTACGGCTTCTTTGGGATGCATCAAGAAAGAACAATTTTAAGATCCACATATTGGAATATAAGGCACAAGATGAAGAGGAAAGATTAGAAGTGATTACTTCACAATATGAAAAGGTATCTGCATCATGTATTTAGCTGCAAATAATGATTTTTGCTATTTTATGGTTGGACTGATGATTTCAGTGTTCCTGGAATGAGACTATTTTTTGTGAGAAGATCAAGTATAAATATATTAAAACAAAAACTTTACAAAAGCAGAGAGCCCCATGTACACCAAGTACACTGGGATTCTGGGAATGTACAGTTTTGTACCTCTAGAATTCTTCTAACAAAATAAGAGTATTCTAATTCTCATATTTCTCAAATACATTCCAATTCTCCTATATCTAAAGCAATGTCTAAAAACATGGAGGTGTGAGGCGTGGCACTAGGACCATTAGATGCATGAGACATAAGCCTCAAGGAGTTGTGCTTAAGATTCATGGTTACTGACTGTTTTTAGGAAAAAATACCATCTATTAACATGAAGAGAAGTACAGAAATATGCATGAGGAGTATGTTTTATGTAGCAAAAGCATATGAACAAATAAATGAGGACATAAACAAAGGATTTGAGAATTTTAGGAGTTATTTAAAATAAAACCATCACATTCTTATCATTTTGTAATTGTTAAGAAGATCTAAATGTTGAACAATACATCAAAAGGGATATAAATATGTTAATGCATAGAAACATGCACACATATTCCATATGCATATGTGTATATAAACATGCTAAGGTATCTCAAAGTGCAAGAAATGTGCTTTATATTTTCAGGAATGATAAGCTTTCTATGCTTTTTAAAACAATGATCTAAATCATGCATTCACAGCATGGTACTGGAACATTTGGAGATAGAATTGACACATGATTCAGCTCGTGTCACTCTCCCTTTCTAAAATGGGATATTCATTTCCAAATTGCAACATGAATCATGTTTAAGGTTTTCACTAGTTTTTTAATTTTTGACAAGTAACAAATTATACATGTACATGACAATGAATGAAGTGAATGCAATTTAACCGTGATAAGCATGGGAATCAATTAAATTATATTAGGGGAAGAAAAATGAATATAAAAGATTAGAATAACTCGATTTCACTATCAACCTGGGTTCCACTTGCATTTACACCTATAATGCCCTGCCTTCCTAATTGCACTACCTGTAAGACCACCTTTCATACAATGTAACTCCAGGGTGCCATAAAACGTAATCTCAAGTTAGCCTCAGTCAAGTTGAAATGGGGTATTCATCTGTATGAAATAGAAAAGTTTGACTGACTTTGCCTTTAGTTTTGCAAGTAGAATGATTGATGTACTAAAGATAACAGATGCTGACAATAAATGCCTAGTGTGGTTTGGGGTGCAAGTCCCAGAATTTGTGTAATATTTCAGTCTAGTATAGTTTTACTTCTAATTGCTGACCTCGTATAGTTGAGATAAGGCTTGGATAATGATGATGATGATTTTACTTGTAATTGTTAGCTTACATTTTCAAATTTTTTGACACCATTGAATATATTAAGGAGAGATGGATGTCTAATTGAACACACTATGTGAGGTGCTTAGTTAGAATGAATTCCTTTTCTGTTTTTTATACTTCTCAGCTGAACCAAGTCCATGCTCCCTTGCAGCCTGTAAATTCTTAAATGGTTGTTCTTTAGGAGATCTTTTAATTATGAATCTGGAATTCAATTATGGCTTCATTTTGTATGACATATGCATTATGTGACCCTTCTACAAGTAAGCTTAGGTCCTGCAAATTGAATGACACATTTGTCCCATGAAACATGCAAGCTATACTTAATTAGTTCAGTTTATTTCATGATTAAATTGTTATCTTGCAGTATTATTATATGAGCAAAGTTCGTGTGTGTCTTCTTATATTGAGAAGTAGCATTAGACATAGTTACCAATTGTTTCTTTTTTCTTCTGTATTACCAGATGGCAGACATTGTCACAGAGCAATGGATCCAGATTCAGCAACTTGAGCAGGCACTTCATATAGCAGAGGTATTATCTAATGGAAAAAAAACGAACCTTGGCTTAATCTTATGTAAGAAAGTAGATAAAATTATCCATGGTTTTTTTTTTTAATTTTGCTTACTTTTCCTTTATTAGAGGACTTTAACAGCTCAAAGGAAAGTGGGCTCCTATAGATGGAGAGTAACAAAGGTAAACTTAAAGCAGATTATCCAGACTTTTTACCATATGTCTTTGAAGAGAAATAACAACTTGCATGCTGGTTCTGTTGAAAGTTTTCTTGAATCAGATAAGTTTGTATATCAGAGAGGTCGTGAGGATTGTTTTAGAAAGATATTAAGGTGGAGGGTATGTGCACATAAATATTTGCATTTTTGTATAATACCATTACAATATCTGCCAAAATGCATCTCTCCTTTTCAGTTGTCAATAATATTGGCCATTTCTTAAAATAATAATTTCATAATTTTGCTACTATATTTTGTATATTATCGATCTCATTGAAGATGCTTTGGGGCTTACAGTTCATCAAAGACTTCTGTGGGCATTATCTCCAAAAGATGATTAGGTTGTTGCATCAACATTTATTTGATCAAGATTCTGTTTTGGGTTCCTGCTTATCTGAAGCTTGGCATCAGCTAAAAAGAACAATCATTGCAGCTAAAAAATATCATCATGAGGTGTGTTCTATACTTTCTTCTTGTTGATCAGTATATACTTGCTTTTTATAAGAATACTTCTAAGTATTTTAATATTATATATACAACTCTATAAGTAACCTGAATAAACATTGTTGTCTACTTTTTTTATGTTTCTTAACTAATATGACACTGAATCATGCAAGGAGGGAAGTCACTGCTTTCATGTATTTTGTTTTTAATAATAAGCATTTTTCCTGCCATTTTGTGAAACAAAGAAAAAAAAATCCATTTTGGGTAATTGAAACTGCAATTAAGAGTGCACGTCGAGTACCCAATTGAAACTGCATTGGGTCTAGGCCTTGGGATTAGCCCCCTTCAAATTTAAATAAATGGTCAATGCAAGCCCACCCAAGTTGCACCTATAACTGCAATGTTTTACTGAACATAAACATATGTTGGGTTTAGTAATTTATTTCTCAAATTGATTCTTTGACTTGAGAGATTGTACTTTGATCAGTATTTCCCATTGTCAAGTGGGTTCTGGTTACCCAAGTTCAAATCTCTTTTTTGAGAGGTCAGGCATTCTCCTGTTGAGTATGCTTACAGCCCTACAAATATATTGATAACATTTCTTCAAATTCTCAGAAATGCATGATGGATCTCATTGGGAGGGCTAATTCCATAGAATAAGCTGTTAAATTGAGAACACAACCTTCCATGCAAAGTTTCTCTATATATCTTATTTCAATTCTTTGCAACACTGTATGCAGTTGTGACCCTGTAGGATCTAGTTATGAAGAATTTCCCCCAGCTTGAACATATAGCTTTTTAAATGGAAAAATGGTATTTGCTTATCCTCGGCTAGTTACATGCCTCAATCTCGTATGGATAGGACATTAGATTGTCAGTGTCTAGTGACTCCTTAAAGTGTTGACTTCATATAATGGATAGATGGTCCTTGCTCATTACTCATAAACGAAGGGATTTTTGCAAATAAAAAGGATTATAAGAGTGTTGCATCTTGTTCTTTTGTGGTTCATACCTCCATGGCTCTCACATTTATGACGCAAGCGTTGGCCTTTGGCCAAACTTCCATGACATTCCCAACCTACCAAATTAAGTGCCCATTTGTGAGGGCTTTCATGCTATGGTTTTTGGCTTTGAAGGTGGGGTCCACCCCAAAAACCTATAAGCAATATTTGGTAAAAAATCTGAAGAGCAAAATCTTGGTCATCCTACAGCCATTTACACAACTCTTCAGACAGCCTCTTCCAATAGCTTCTTCAAAGGAGCTGAACCAAAGTTAAGCCCTCCCAAACAGGACCCAAGTCTTCTAGCAGATGAATAAATAAGTTTTTGTGCCTTATTTATGAAATAGTTCGTATGAAGTCATAACCAAGCAGACTGCCACCAAATGTTAGACAATTATTTTTCTACTTTTGCAGCTACAAGTTTTTGTGAAACATGAAATGGAAAGAAACGAATTCACTGCAGCTATTGCCAATCAGGAAGTGGTATTTTTTGTGGTATGTCTTAGTATAACCTCTCACATCTTGTACCTTTGTATTATATGAACATTGTTATTCTACTCTGTAGAACAACAATTTGTAATTGGTTTATGCATTATGCATTTCAGGCTTCTGCTCTAATTACCTTCCCAGTAATAAGTACTTTGATTTGGCTCTTACCATGTTTTGGCTAAACAACAAAGATCCCATATCTGGTCGAAAGAGAAACAGTGGCATACCCAACAAAAGAAGCGAGTATACAGCTTGAATTCATCCATGTCAGAGCGCAGTTTCTTCCATTTCAGAGAAACTATATCGGCTTAATCAGATTAAACTTTTGTCTTTTTTCATCTGAAGTCAGAGTAAACCCTCGTTGGCCATCTCAGGAATCATAACAGCATTACTTTTTGCTTCGTGGGTCGATATCTGAATTCAGTTACAACTTACAATTTAACGAAACTAATCAAGGGTGATTAGGTTATATGGTGCACCTCCCTAGAGAAGAAGAAACCATCTAATTAGCAAATACCTAATTTTTGGACAAACAAAAAAAAGTTATCACTATCACGATCATGTTCCTTCCCTTGTCTATAAAACGGATACCCACTTTTGTAAGAGACTTTTGCAAGAGACTTTAAATGCAAGCAGAAAAACACATTAAGTGGACTTCTCTACATTATTAAATATTAATAGCACATAGAGATGCAAATGCATTGCAGGTTTCTTCCAGTTTGTTTGTACTTTATTAAGTGGATTGTGGATTCCCCAATTTCTAGAGCGTCCCCAGAGAATTTCACATGAAGCAAACCTCTATCTTTTTGTCTCCTGCAATATCATGATGGGTGTTTTTGGCTTTGAAACATGTACTTTTTTTATCACATTATTAACTTTTTTATCAAAAATTGGATGTGCTTAAATCATTCCTCAATATCAATTAATAGTGTTTTCAACCTATCATTGACCCCGCCGATCAAATTGTTCTAACCATCACCCAGTCAAGATTCTGGTCCAGTTCAGTCAAGACCCATTAGACGGTCAAAAATCGTTGACTTGGTCAAGAACCATTCAACTCGGATGGTTCAACTGTTGACCCATTTGAATCGATCACTGAGTTGTTGGTTGCACACTCAATGTATGTAGATTTTCGGAGGTCATGACTTTGCACTCCGATGTTCAATTGGGTTTTTTTTTTATTTTGAGTAACTTTTTGAAATATATGCGTCCATAGGTGCCTTGCCCTACTGTTTTTGCGAAAAAAAAAAAAAAAAACCCTTTTTTGGCCTTAAATTGCAGTTTTTAATATTTTTTATAAATAAATTAAATATAAAAATACGTATAACATATTTATACATCATTTATTGATATGATCTGAACTATTTGACCCAGCCGGTCAAATTGGTGGCCCGCGACTTGGAGGCAAACCTTCGAGTCGATTTTTAAAACATTGCTTATTAGTGTTTCGAAAATAAGCCTCAAGTAAAGGCTTATTTTTCAAGCCCAAATTCCCAGCTTTTTTTAAGTGCTCATACAATAAGCACTTATTCAATTTTTTCTCCCATAATTGTCCCTAGTGAATTTTTTAGAATACCAATTATAACCTTTTTATAAAAACAATTTTACAATGGCACTTTTATAAAAGTAATTTCATGAAATTTACTTTTAAGAAAAGTAGTATTTTTACATGAAAACACTTTACGAAAGCACTTTTATAAAAGTACTTTTATGGAAACACTTTTGTAAAAGTATTTCTATATGAAAGCACTTCTATGGAAGTCCCAAATTCCTAGCTTTTTTTAAGTGCTCATACAATAAGCACTTATTCAATTTTTTCTCCCATAATTGTCCCTAGTGAATTTTTTAGAATACCAATTATAACCTTTTTATAAAAACAATTTTACAATGGCACTTTTATAAAAGTAATTTTATGAAAATTACTTTTAAGAAAAGTAGTATTTTTACATGAAAACACTTTACGAAAGCACTTTTATAAAAGTACTTTTATGGAAACACTTTTGTAAAAGTACTTCTATATGAAAGCACTTTTATGGAAGTACTTTTATGAAAGCACTTTTATAAAAATACTTTTATGAAAGTGTTTTTATAAAAGCATTTTTACATAAACATTTTTATAAAAACACTTTTTATGGAAGTGATTTTATAAAAGCACTTTTTACAAAGACACTTTTATAAAAGTATTTTATGGATGTGCTTTTATCAAAGTGCTTTTATGGAAGCACTTTGTAAAAGTACTTTTATAAAAACACTTCTATCAAAGTACTTTTATTCATTCACTTTAGATTGAATATTTTGAAAATTTGAAAGAAAATGAAGGACAAAAGAATCACAATTGCTTATTGGAGAAAAAGCCCACCAAACACCCAATATAAATAAGTGCTTATTTGAATAAGCACTTATTTTTAACATAAGCACTCCCCAACATGGCCTTAATTTAATACGTACAAAAAGAAACAATAAAAAATATATTCACTAATAAGGGAAATGAGAAAAATAACAATTTTACAGAGAAATTTAAACCTGATTTGTCCTATTGGCTTTTCATTTTAATCTTATTATTTGGCCTATAATTACCAAAATGCTATTCTCATATATTTTTAACTATAAAATACATGAATAAATTTTTTATACTAAATCACTTACTAATCATTGGTTATTAACATGGTTTTTAAAACCAACCCGGAGATCGAACCGGTCAGGGGTCCGGCTACCAGGTCGAACGGTCCGATTGTTCAAACTGAATGATCGGCCCGTTTTGACAAAAAAAATTAAAAATAAATAAAATAAAATAAATAAATAAATGAAAAACAGTCAAAACCATTTTAATAGTTCGAACGGTTCGAAAGGTTAACCTCCCAGGTCAGCGGTTTGTTGACCAAAATCAATGATTTTTATGAAAAATCCGGTTTTGGGAAAAACCGGAACTGGTCACCTGACCGATTCCTGATTTTTTCGGTCCGATCCTCCAGTCCGGTCCAGTTTTGAAAACCATGGTTATTAAGGCTTCCTCATTTCTACGCCTCAAGCTATGTACCCCCATTCTAACAAAGACCTAACCCTCATGCCTTAAATGAAAATCTGTATACTTGGCCTCAAGGCTTAAACCTTTTTATACTATGCTCTACCTTGTATTAAGTTTTCCCCAAGTGATTAATTGCTAAAAATTTTACAGGGGTCTTCACTTTTTTCAAAGCTTTCCAACTTTATTCTTTCAACGCTAGAATTTTCTTTGGATACAATGGATGAATGACGGAAATCTGGAGCAATGAATAGAAGAAGCGTACTTAGCAACACAGTGAATAACCCATTACATTACATGATCAGGGCACAAAGGAAATTGAAACATGGGAGAGCATATTAATTAAAGTCTCTGCAATCACCAATAATGGTGCTGATTCACCGAGGGTACAAAGGTCTTCATTTTTAAAAAGGGTCCTTGGATATAGATAGTGGTGACTGGTGGAAAGAATATATTGGGGCTCTTCTGAGACCCCAGACCACATGGAAAGAAAGAGATAAATGATATGAAGGGGTTGTCCTCAACCCACATATCACCGAGGATGGATAATCACTGGTAAGGTTTGCTAAGGCTGATTATTGGCGGTGGAGAATACTTTGGCCACTGATAAAATATGGGTCTATTAAGACATCAGATGACTTCCACCTCTTTCAATTGGGACCTTTCGATGGTGGGTCCAAATTCTTTCATCATGGGGCCCAGATCCATACACCTGTCTTGACTCTGCGTACCCCATGAGGCCATGACCATGAATGATGAATCCATGACCCAATTACTGTTGTACTTGCCCGTTGTTAATTTTCCATTTTAAGGGCAAATTTTTTAAACTATCCAGACAATTACTGTGAATGGAAATGTCTATTTTGCTTTTAAGTCATTCTCTCTCTCTCTCTTCCCCACCGCATCCAATTGAAATGATCCCGCACCGGGTGGACAGCAGCCGCGTTGGCTTTACAGGTAACGCTCACCAAAGTTTGTTCACAAACCTTAACATCCAGACTCTATCCCTTAAAATGGTCACTTGATGTGAACGGAGATATGAATGGGGGGAGGGCTACAGAGAAGATCACCAAAGTTTCCCCCAAAACCTTCGACGAAGAGACGAGAAATCATGTTTTCTTCATCTTCAAGAGTGTTGGAAGCATGTCAGGCATTTTTCATCTGGTCTGCAAAAACCAACAGCCGGAAGTTCCTCACCTCCGGTATCTCAGCTGCTTTGAAAACCCCATTTCTCCGACCACTGGACCTCTTTTGAGATCGTGCAACGAGCTTTGAATTCAAAAATGATTTTTTGATCACAAAAATTATACAGCTTAAGCTGGATAGGATATTCCAAAATCCATAGAAAGGAAATAATAGATCTGCCACAAATTTAGCAAAGCAATTTAAAAGCCATAGCTTGAACCGACTCTTTTCCAAGAATCAGAGAGAATGAAAACCACCTTGGGTATATGTGAGAAACAAAAGTGGACTTAGACTGAGATAAACTTACGGATGGCAAGAGCCAAAGATTTGGGTATGAAATCAATAATGATTTTGTTGGAAATGAGTGAGAAAATATAAACAGATGCCGAAACGCACAAAATCATTAATCGAAGAAGAAAACCCTTGAACTTTGTCCCCAAGGTTTTTTGAGGCAAGCAAATATCAATATGTTTTTACTTTTTTTTCTCTTTATTTATTTGTGCATTCATTTCAAAATCTATTCTGCCATTATTATAGCAGAACCTAGCCATGAGCTCAAAACCCTCTGCTTCTCCTGGAAAATCATGGAATGACTCGTAGATTTACCAAATAATTTGCTTAATCTACCTGAGAATGATGAAATAATTTTCTACTAGTAACTAGGTGGACGAATGGGCACCTCTGATGATTTGCCGTGATTTCCCACCACTGCTGCAACTTGATGAAACAGGGAGAGAGAAGGAAGGGGAAAGAGAGAGAGAGGCCGGAGGTCGAGGGGTTGTGTCGCTGGTGCCAGGGATGGATAGGTGATCATTGGCATGGTATTTCCATCACACCCTGGCCAATGTTTATTTTCTCGGTAGTTCTTTTTATTAATTTTAAGATTTTAACATCTTGATGTTGGGCTGCACTGACTTCTTCATCCTGTTTAGAATTATTACAACTTTTTGGTTTTGCATTTTGTCTCCTTAATACATTAAAAAAAAATGAATGCCACAGCTCAGAGAACTGGATCAGGAATACAGTTGGAGCCAAAGCAGGAGAGATGGAGATGGACAGGGAATCAAAGTCAGAGACGGAGACGATGATGCACGGAATATAAGTGTCATTGTGAATAAGTGTATTGATTTTTAAAAGGGTATTTTAAGAATTTTTAAAAATATATCACTCACATGATGCCACATATGAACCGAGTGTGACAGAAAAATAACACCAAACGAAATCGTAGACAATCAAAATTTAGGGGTACTTTATGATAATATATAAACAGTAAAGATAATAGTTAGTCAATTAAGTAAAGAGTAAGGATAACTATGAAAAAAGAGTACCAAAAAATACTTAACCTCATCTTCTTCCAACTTCACAAGTCTTCAGATTTTGGAGCTCTCTTCTTCTGATTTTCACAAACACGATGCGAGTATGAGATGATGATGATGATGAAACGATGGAGGAAGCAAGATGGGAGCAGAGAATCCAAGCCCTAACCCACGTTCTAACAAGCCCCACGATCAACCCATCTCTCCACTCTCAGTTCTTCATCTCCACACAGGTCCCCTGCTACCTCAACTGGGACTACCCTCCTATTCTCTGCAACAAAGACCAGAGGAACCCCTTCCCTTCTCTGCATCTAAAATGGGGCCTCTCTCTCTTCTGGAAGAGGGTCTCTAGGTTTGGGTTTCCCGAGACATCCTGGCGGTCTAAGTGCCCCTTTCAGCAGCCCCAGCCACTGATCTTAGCCAAAGGCGTTGAAGTTTCTCCTTCCATGTGGGGTGAAGAACAGAGGAGAGAGTATTTCAGGAAGAGATTAAGAAGAAAACGCCTGGGCAGTAATATTCACCCATTAATTCCTATTGTGATTCCAAATGTTTTGTTGTTTTCTCTTTTGCTTTGGAATCCCTTTCCCCTTGATGAATCCTGAACCACTCATCTTCATGTACGTTGAAGCCTAATCCATGAAAAGGCATATTTTGCAATTGATTTAATTCTTGAGCTAGTTATTTTAGTGCGTATAAGATCAGTTGATCTCTGAGTTTATTCTTGGTATTGTTCGTCGTGATCTAGGCAGATAGATCTAGAAATGAAGGGCGACGCTTTTCTTATCCTTCAGAATGAAAGAAATAATAACTACTACAGTTCTAATTAATTAGAAAAGCAGTAGCCTTTTGTGAAGACAAAAGCATTTTTGGCCAATATGCATTGATCTAGTGCCATATCTTTTGGCCAGTATGCATGAAGTCTTTAGTTCTCCAGAAAGACATGCCAGTGGCCTTGTTGTCTCAGACTTGAACCCCTGAATTCTCACCTTTGTCAGCCCATGACTTAACCATTGCACCCAGAAATGACCCCTTATGGTTTTCAGGAAAAAAAAAAAAAAACATCACATGGGCTAAAGGTTTAGGTGTTTGTAAATGGAAACAGACAGGTACAAGTGTAAATCACGTATCTAATTCATTCACAAAGAATCATTCCCACCTATCACACCATCACTGAATGTGTACCAGGTACATTTCAATTGTAGATGGGACTCCAACCAACCCATTCAACCCATAAGTGTGTAGATGATATGGATATTTGTCCACTTGTTTCTTCTTGACATGAAGTTTTAATACTAATAGCTCTTAACATGCATATTGGCCAAATGGCCAGTAGCCCCCTAGATGGGTGGGTTTGGGACTTTGGGTCGAGTATAGAAACCCACTTGGTGTTGGAAAATGGCAACCCAATAGAAAGTTTGGCTTAGGATTGATGTCTTGGGCAATCCAACCCAAACCATAGATTACATTTGTTGTCATGTATTCTTATGTATAATATATGTATTGATTTTTATATACAAGAGGAGGTGATTGATTCATTGTAAAATATTACTGTAACAATAAGATTTGCATGTGTTATATGTGTGATCAATCCTATTTCATTGAGCTGCGTTAAGGTTAGGATTGAGGTTTTGACACAGGATTGGGCTTCAATCTCGCCTAAATTGCACCCCTAGTTGGGATAAATGCTTAGATGACGATGACAACGACGATGATGATGATGATGAATGCAGCACATCCCAACTTCCAACAGTGAACTGGCTTAGTGGTTTTGCCTATTTAGCATCTTGGATTTGTGTCAATTTGTTTTGGAGAGGAGGGTGCGAGTAGAAAGGTTTGGGGAGGCAGAGAGGGTTTAGAATTTATAAAGTTATCTCTGAATATGCTCTATTGCCATCCCTAATTGGGTGTTAATACATGCTACACATTTGCATTCAGATATTTATCCCTATTATGACTATCAGCAGGCAAAACCCCTAAAGGGGTATTCGAAATTTGACCACTAGTTTAGGAGTTTACATTTCTGCCCCACAACGTCCCGCCCCACAGTATATCCCCGCCATGTATTGAGAACATCTTCCAATGATAGTATCATAATCAATGATGTCATCATTGAAAGATATTCCTAATATACGACGGGAATGTACTGTGGGGCGTTGTGGAGCAGAGATATACTCTCTTAGTTTAGTGGGTAGACAGGCCTAAAACCGACCCTTGAAGCAATTTTGAAAAAAAAAAATAAAAGAAAAAGTTATTAGGCATCAAAACACCCTATGCAGGCATATTGAGAGTATCAATACTTTGAACCAATGCTCCTAGCTGTGCAAAATTTCTTTCGCTTTAGCATAGATACATATTATAATACATCATAGACCACGCATCTAGAGTATTGTATGAGTGAATGGTCCCTCACCTGTATTATAGGATGCACTTGTTTGTACCGAGATTTGTACCGCTTGCTCAATCTCCCTCTAGTTTCTCTAACACAAATGAGCAATTGAGCAATCATAGGCAAAACCTTGGTGGGCCTTCTAGCAACCGGCAAGGAAAGTAGGAAACCTATCCTTTTGTCTAGGCTTAAGGTCAAACCAGACAACACTTGCTAGACTTTTGGCCGTTAACACTTGACAACATCTCGCCGCCCATCACGCCACCAAACTACGTTGCATCAAAAGAGAAGATTGGAGAGAAAATGAAAAGAAGTGTCTAAGAATCAAACACCCACGACCCAACCCAAGTTTGACAAAATCATCACCTAAATTAATTGGGTATGTTGTTGACAAAGCAAAAAAGGCATAAACCATTCTTTACTAAAAAGTGGGCTCTCTCCTACTCTCCTACACTCCTACCCTGCCTTTTCAGACCTTAGCCTATGAAATATGGATTGCAGCTCAATGACAATAATGTGGTCTCTTAAATCTGATTGACCCGACCCGCCAATCAGACAATCAGTCCTTACTTTCGATTAGGTTTGGGCATATTTCCTATCCACGTCCTGAATCTGAACCCGTCACAATCTTTTCTTTTAATTTCTCTACCGAAGGTACAGATAGTACATCAAACAGTTAATGATCCTGATCCAGAATCCAAGCAATTACAGCTCGGAGCATTGATGAAATAAATCCAGCATAGGAATCACCACCGGAGATGCCCAACCCATAATTCAATCATCTAACTGATGTACGTAATTGGACGATCTTAATGCACAAATTTCCAGTTGTGGCCAGTACAAATGGGTTGAGCCCCTGAGCCCCAATCCATCCATCCATGGGTCAGTAGCCACATGGGCATATCTCCATCACATTTAAAGCCCCTCCATACCCATGAAAGGGAGATGGAATTAATCTACAACGGCAGGTAGTTGGATATTTGGATCGTGATAGAGAAGGCAACAATCCGACCCAGTACAGAGAGGAATGAGAACTGCCCTAGCTCCCAGGGTGCAACCAACCCAACTGCTAAATGGGTAGGATGGGACCTCCATTTCTTAATTAAAAAAGGTCGTCAATTGACTGGAGATGCATTTCGGTAGCAAAAGGGTTAGGTCTCTCTGATGCCCTTCAAATGGGACAAGCTTGAGAGAGAGCACATGCAGCGTGCACTAAATGCTATTATGTCCTTGCCCCACCTTCCACAATCCCCGCATAACAACCCGGCCGGTCCACCCAAACTTTCCAATATACCCTCCCATCTCCACTTTAGTGATTTTTCATGAAACACACACAATTTGTACTAATATCTATTGTGTTGAAAACTAAAACTCGGCCGAGTTGACTCTTGATATCATTTCACTAGGGGTTGCAGAGTTGTGATTATTCAACCAATTAGTGTATTATTTGTCTTGATTAGTGGATGGATGGATACTCAGTGATTTCATGATTTTGTTGGGCTACAACAAACTCATGAGTCAGATGTCCCACTCTTAATTAAGTAGAAAGATTGAGATCAAAGCAATAATAGAAAAATTAAATGGGTTTCTGCTAAAGTGCCCTTCTATAGCCACAAGGGACCACAATCACCACCCATTCTCGCCATCTATTTCCTTCTTGTCTCAAAAGAAAAGAGAAAAATGAGACCATCTTCTCTCACTTTGGGTTCTATTTAAGGACATTGAATCATCAGAAGCTTCACAACACTTCCCACTAGACTTGGTGCCCACCAAAACCATCTTCTTCTCTCGTATACTTCCCACTCACTCATGGATCCTGCAAAGCAATTTTTCTTGCTTTTCCTACTCTTCCTCATCTCCTCTGTTCAAATTCAGGCCAGGGAAATCAAATTCTTTAACCGGGTCTCCCATTACACCACCAACAACAACAAGAACAACAGCAACAATGGAAAGGAGACTGAGCTCCCCAAGAAGGAAGAAACTCCAAGTAAAGAAGACGAGGAGCCGAGCTTCACCCCAGAGAGCGAAAACGGGTATGGCCTCTACGGTCATGGCTCAGGACAGCTCCCACCCACCACCGACAATGATGCATACTACACTACTGGCAACCTCCGAGCAGAGAAGACCACCACCAGTGAATACAATAATGGTGGAAACTACGAGTACAAGCAGTTCAACAAGCGCTACCCCAACAACTTCTACAGCACAAACAATGGCTATGAGACCAAGCAACAAGTAGGCTTAGAAGGAACAAGGTTCACAAGCACAGAATACCTCAACAACAACAACAATGGCTACGAGACCAAGCAGCAACAAACCATGGGCGGAGCAAGGTTGGCAGACACAAGCTACCTCAACAACAACAACAACTACCACTACAGCAATAACAACAACAAGTACAGAAACAATGGATATGCGACCGAGCAGCAGGGAATGAGCGACACACGGTTCCTGGAGGGCGGTAAGTACTTCTACGATATGAAAAAGGAGAGTTCTTATCCCAGTGGATACGGATGGCAGAAGGGAAGCAGTGAGGGTTTGGGCTCCTCCAGGAACACGTACAACTATGGAGGTTACAATGGCAACAACAATGAGAATGGGTTTGAGTACAACAACTCCATGGAAGGATACCAGAACCAGGAGGATCAGTACCAAGAGAGCCAGGAAGAGTATGAACCATGATTTCTACGTGGGTGGTGTTCAATCACATTTTATGATTTAGTATTTATCCTTGAAACATTAGGGTTATGTTTGTTGGTGATGTTTTGTAATGTCGTTTTGTGTTTGCTATTACATTTTCTGATTTGCAGACCAAAATACAGAGAGCTTCAATTCTCAACTTGTATTTGGGGGGGAGAGAAATATTCAATAAATGTATATTATTAGAGCTTACTTACCTCCCTTCTCGTTCAGATTAATAGTTTACTCTATAGTTATAAGTATACGAATTTTTATTTTATTTTATTTGGTATTACAATTTATTTCATTAGAAAAGTTAAAAGTTACTTTTCTGTGACGAACCAAACGCCCCCTAAACTTACCTACCGAAAAAGGAAAATATCCTGAAACAGTAATAATAAAGAGTCAATGTTAGATGAACCCAACTTCCGTAATCCGTATGCTTCTTTTATCTACCAAAAATTAGAACAATAATAAATCTAGGTAGGTCCCAACTTGAAAATTTTGACGTCGGGCTGATCTCAAGAGTCAAGACCTAACCTCATTAGACCTCACCGTCTCCGTGAATGACGAGACGGGTAGAGTGAGTTAGTGCAAATGGCCCTGAAGCGGTGAAGCCCCCACCAATATCAGATGGGTAGGTAGGTCGTAGGTCAGTCCTCATTGTTGTCAAACGTAACCCTTTATTCCTTCTGGTCTGGGTTTCAAAACATATAGCAGCTGGAAGACATTAACACCAAAACTGGAATGTTAATGAAAAACGAGAGCGTGTAAATTAATCTTTGAGACAGTGTTATAAGACATAAGTAGATACGCCTTTTCATGAATCTCACTCTCATCTCATTTGTTGTACTTGTAGGATGAAGAAATCCAAGATTTTGCATCAATATGTTTACTAACAGAAATCATTTCTGGTAAGCTTAAAATTACATGCAGGAATAATAGAAAGAAAATTAATCCAGGTTAATTAATTCCAGCACCGCAAGAAGATTTCTGTTATGCGTCCCCGGCGGATTCTCTTTCTTTAGTAGTGTTTTTGGCATGGTTTTCAAAACCAGACCGGACTGGACGGTCGGACTGGAAAAACTGGGAACCGGTTCTGGTTTTCCCCAAAATCATATTTTCCATAAAAACCGTTGATTTTGTTCAGCAAATCGCTGATCCAGGCAGTTAATCATTTGAACCGTTCGAATCGTTCAAATGGTTTTGACCGGTTTTCATTTTTTTATTTTTTTTATTTTTTTTTTGTTAGAATGGACCGACCATTCGACCTGGTAACCAGATCCTTGACTGGTTCGGTCTCCGGGTCAATTTTAAAAACCATGGTTTTTGGTAACTAAAACAATTAGGTTGCATTTGGATAATCTTCAGGGATTGTGCTTTTAAAGTTCAAATTTTAGGTTTTGTAATTTGGGGCTTAAAAAGTGCTTTGGCTTCACATAAATAATGTTTTTGAAAGTAACTCTTACTAAAATGCCCCAAAACACTTACTATCTATGTGTTTGGTTCCGTTTACATTTATTGAGTAAACGGTGCCACATAGGTGCCCATCAGCAAAAGCCTCATTAATTGTTTCCGTACGTATATATTTGCAAAAGCAAACATCGTTTTCTATGTGCCTCTCCCGTTTTAAGAAGATTCATTTTGGAGCTTTCTGAAATGGGTAGGCGTTTATTGGCACTTTGCTGATGTGGTTCCTAATAGCGCCCATGTGTCATAAAGGCCCACATTAATTAATAGCTTTTCTCAATTTTGCAGCCACACAAGTACAAAACGTTTTTTATTCAATAAACGTAAACAGAACCAAACACCCTCTATGTATCTCAATTTTGTTTTCCATAGCCCAAAGTTCAGAATAAAAAGCTTATCCATATGGACCCTTGGCTGATCAACGAACTTATGCAACTCTTCGATTCTTTCATGCATGCATGGTGGGATCCATGAGAAGGGGTGCAAGTCGGATTGGCTTGAACTAAGGGTCAGTTTGGTTCATAGTTGGAATCAGAATCGGAATGGTCTATTCCCATAATCTATTTGATTCAGACAGGAATCAGAATGGTAATTGGAATCAACTGAAATGGGATTTCATTCCCAAGGAAGGGTCGGGGATGGCCATTCCCTCAAATGGGAGAATGCCATTCCACCAAGAATGCGAATGGCATTTCGATTCCGCCCGTTCCAATTCCGATTCCAAACACCTATTCCCCCAAACTAAACAAGCCCTAACATTTTGCATTGCTTTGGACTCGGGCCTCTGGGCCAAACTAATCAAATTTTGACAAAAGAAAAAAAACCAACCCGAGCTTACTCAAGTTGTACCCCTACCCAATACCCATAAAGGGGCATGGTGCAAGATAAATTGGACATGTTTATTCGATCCACTCTAATACAAGTCCATTGCAAATTGACCTGGTCCAATTCAATCCGATGAACCCAAATCAGGTCCACTGGCACCTATATTCTTATCTTTTATCAATAGATCAGATATTGGTTCAATCTGACTCAATCCAATATAAATCCATTACGGATGGACCATTAGGTTTGGACTGGTCCAATTCGATATGTATTATTGGTCCATCCAATCCATCCAAGTTGATTTTGATTTGGACAGATCCAACTCAAAACCATCGGTCCATAGACGACCCTAGGTCCACCTAGGGAGATAACACAAAGACTTATGATGTTGGACAAGATAAATTGATCTAAATCACACTATTATCTATATCCATATAAATATATTAAGCTGAAATGTGTACCTAAGAAGGTTTGAGGATGAGAGAAATGGAATCTAATAGTATTTTTTGTTTTTTCATAGAAATTACAAGAATGCCACTCTCTCCTACCAACTCTCTCTCTCTCGTTCTTACAAATTACAAAAATGCCATCTCTCTCTCTCCTTATAAATTATAAGAGTGCCACTCTCTCTCCAATTGCGGGAGACCTCAACTCGGCATCTCGGCTACTAGGGGACCTGTCAACTATCCGCAAGAGTACGGAGTCGTGCAAGTAATATAGTAGAGAGTTCAGAATCGTTCCCACAAGGAATGAATTATTTAGCCACCTATTAATTTCTTCTCAACTTGTTTAAAGCAATAATCAATTTGGTTTGCGATTTAGGAATTCAAACTAGCGCTACTAATCAAGGAAATTAAATGACAAAAACACGTACCTTGAACAAAGTCAATAACAAAGTTGCTAGATAATCCTATCACAATCATCAAGATTCAACATCAATAAAATCTCACAAGGGTTGTTATATTCCAAGGTGTTTCTTAAAAGCACTAGTTGATCTTTCTCAAGAGTCGATTAGCTAAACCTATGTTCAATTAAATGGAATTGCGATAAATGAATTCTCATTCTTTTAATCAAAATCCTCTTTGCATAAACACAAGCTATCAGTACACCTATACGGAAATCCTACCAACAATTGATATCTCTACCTAATTATTGGTCGAATAAGTGTTATTAGTTCCACCTCAATTGTCATCTCTCAATGAATAATCTCGATCAAGGAATGATTCATTGGTGATCAGCCAATGACACGTAATCAGCTCAAATAACACAATATAACAAGAACTGCATCAGTTTTATTAATGAATGAAATTCAATGCATGATCAAACATTAGTCCCTAACAATAAAAACCTAGCCCCTCATGATATAATCAAGAACAAGCAAACTACCCTAATTACTTTCGGATCAAACCACTCTTAATGATAAGAAGAGTCACTACATACAAGAATTAATAGAACTGATTCAGCAATCAAATCTTTAAGTTGTCCAACCGAAGTGAATTTGGTCTTGGGTTGGCGAAACCCTAATTTATGAGCAGCCTCTCTCGAGCGCAGCCCACCCTATCTACGATGACAATTCCTATATCTCTATTAGAAATTGAATCACCATAGATGCATTAAGAACACAAAATTCCCAGGTCATCAATTCAGGTATGAATGATTGCCAACCGAACCATGCAACTTATCTCTAAGGTGCATTTAGTTCGTTTCTTATTAGATGATCTAATTACCTAACTCTTTCTCAAGCAGTTCAAGTAATCCAAGATGCAAGAACAATTCGGCCAAGATTGTTCTATAAATCAAAACCCTAATCAAGAATCCCAAGAAAAAATCACACTCAATCGGATCTGCTAAAAATTAATTACAAATCAGAATTAAAACTCATCATGGTTCGCATAAAAGAAAGAAATAAGAAAGATTCAATAGAGAAACCTCAAGAAACCCTAATCGAATCTAGGTTACCAATGCAGAACCAAAGAAGAAGACAACTTATGAATCTTGGCATCAAACTTCGATCTCCTTGCTGTGATCCTTCTTCAGTTCGCATCCAGTAGCCTTCTCTTCCCTCTAGTAGTCCTTCTTCTCCAATTTTCTTCCAGGGGTTCGAACCCTAATCGTCTCTTTTCCTTTTCTTTTTATACCTTTCCTCTTCAGCCTCCAAGAGAAGCCTATAAAATCTCCTAAAATTTCTCTAGATAATAGTCTCCAAGTCTGACTCATCAAGAAAGGGTTCAAAAACCAAGTTCTCGTGTAAGTGGGAGAGTGGTGAATTCCCAAATGAAAACTTGCAGGCTAAGGAATGGCTCCAGCGCGTCAACAGTGCGGTTGCAGATAATTTGGGCCCGATTTTGACCTCGATGCAGTCCGTATCTATCAAAACTCAAAACATGAAAGTTATAGAAATTTTCCTTATCTTTCTAACGCATCTTGAATCATCTAATCGGAGTCCGAATGAGATAGTTATGCCCAAATTACGACGTAGTGCCGAAACTATCCAGAATTACCCGATTAGCCTTGCTTTTCACTTAACACCTCCTTTCGTGTCCTAAATCAAAATATAAGAATAATGAGTCCATTTAGGAACTAAATAAATATAAAAGACTAAATATTAAGGGATAAAAATATAATAATTTTCATTCTCATCAGGACCTGCAGTCAAAGGTAGTCGAGTTTGAGTCGAGCTGAGCTCGAACTTTTGAGCTCAAGCTCAAGTCTCTAATTCAAATCAAGCTCGAGCTCGATGACACCTCAACCACTAAGGGAGACCTCGGGTCGACACCTCAATCACTGAGGGAGATCTCAGCTCAGCACCTTGACAACTGAGGGAGACCTCAGCTCGACAACTTTTCAACTAAGGGAGACCTTAGCTCGAAACCTCGCCTGCTAGGGAAACCTCAACTCGACACTTCAGCAGCTGAGGAAGATC